CCCCTTGGAGCTGCCGTGGATAATGTGGGTATTCCACAAATGTGCAACTTGCTGTAGTTGTTCCAAAAAATCAATGTAACACTTCCTATTTTGAGTCAGTAATGTGTTGGGAAAAGTAAGATGACTACTGCTTACATTATTAATAATGTTAAAAGCTTAAAAAGATATTTTGCATGTTTTGTTTTTTGTAAGTGTCATGTGTTCAACAGAATACATGTGCACTGCTGTGACTAATCAGTCTGTCCCTTTAACTGCAGACTTAATTATGATTCATGAACATCATTAAGAACTCATGCTGATTGAAATACGTAGTTGTTGCATTAATTAACATTATGAGCTTGCATTAAGTCATGCATGAGGTGCTATTCATTCTTGTACATTCCTGATAAATCATGAATCATTATCTGAATGAACTCATGCTCTTTAATGCATTAAGTCATGAATGAATCCATGAGAATTCATATGCTTCTGCAGCATTCAACGAAAATCTAACCAGGGTGTCATCTGGCTTTTGTAGCACACCTATTTTTGTAGACTGCTCTAAAGATGTTAGATAGCTTCTCCATAGTTTGTGGCTGCTTGTCTATATTTTAGAGTAAATTTGGCTTTACAATGTTGTGTAGGCAATATAAAAATAGTGATGAAGCAAGCAGAGCTGATGAGTCAACATGCCACATAAAATTATGCCCAGGGTTAACGTATAGGCGTCGCATCATTCGATTTCTCCGTCTCTGCTCAACACCATGGGGGTCTAGAAATTTTAACAAATGCCTCACTGTACTTTGGGTCGTACAACATAAAATATGTTAAAGAATATTATTATATTAAAAAGTGAATACTTCCTGGTTTCTTTGCTCCTCTATGACAGTAAACTGAATATATATTTGGGTTGTGGCCAAAACAAGACATTTGAGTGACGTCATCTCGGACTTTGGGAAACACGGATCGACATTTTTCACCATTTTCTGACATTTTATAGACCAAACTACTAATTAATTTATCGAGAAAATAATCCAAAGATTAATTAACAGAAAGGTTTGGCTAGCGACTAACTGAAAACTTAACAGCCAGTTAAGTTCAGTTGTTCTTTTAGAACAACTGAACGAGCTCATAGTACCTTACTACCCCACCAGAGCACTGCGCTCCCAGAATGCAGGGTTACTTGTGGTTCCTAGAGTCTCCAAAAGTAGACTAGGAGCCAGAGCGTTCAGCTATCAAGCTCCTCTCCTGTGGAACCAGGTTCCAGTTTGGGTTCAGGAGGCAGACACCATCTCCACATTTAAGAGTAGGCTTAAGACTTTCCTCTTTGATAAAGCTTATAGTTAGGGCTGGCTCAGGTAGTCCTGAACCATCCCTTAGTTATGCTGCTATAGGCCTAGACTGCCGGGGGATTTCCCATGATGCACTGAGCTCCTCTCTCCTCTACTTTCTCTCCCTCTGTATGCAACCTTATCCCATTATTGCATGTTACTAACACAACTTCTCCCCTTTCTGGTAGTCTTGTGCTTTCTCGTCCCTCTCCTCTCTCCTCCTATCACTTCCTGCAGGTTTTCTGGCTCTGGAGCTGTGGAGTCTGGATCTGTGGTTGCGGGTCACCTGCTGCCTCCGTGTTCCTGCTCGACACCCTCTGCTGCAACGACTATCTTATTGTTATTATTGTTATTATAATCATTAACATTACAATTGTTACCATTAACACTACTATAAATATCTGTACCATTTTTCATTTAGTCTATAGCAACATCACCTGCACTGTGTGTATATTGTGTAGGCTTCTCTCTCTCTCTCTCTCTCTCTCTCACCCCAACCGGTCGAGGCAGATGGCCGCCCACCCTGAGCCATGGTTCTGCTCGAGGTTTCTGCCTCTTAAAAGGAAGTTTTTCCTTGCCTCTGTCGCCTAGTGCTGCTCTTGGTGGGAACTGTTGGGCTTCTGTAAATATCATCACAGAGTACGGTCTAGACCTGCTCTTTTATGAAAAGCGCTGTGAGATAACTGTTGTTGTGATTTGGCACTATATAAATAAAATTGAATTGAATTGAATTGAAACTAGCGACTGAGACCATAAACTCATCAGGAAAGTGTTTACTGAGGGAATAAATCAGCTGAGAAGTAGAAACATTTTCTCAGAGACTTCTATACAATCACACTTCTTTCTGCAGCCAGTGGAGCCGCCCCCTGCTGGCTGCTAGAGAGAAAGCAGGTTTAAGGCTCTTCAGCATTGGCTTCACTTTTCAGACCCGGAGGTTCAAGTAAAAATCCACTCCCTCTAGTGGACACCAATGCCAGAAAGTTAAAACCCTGCACAGTAATCTTCTGCTACCAGAATCATTTTTGTCTGCAGAAACACAAAGATGGAAGAACACTGTAAGTACATTAACTTAAGTACTGCACTTAAGTACAGTATTTTCTACTTCTACTCCACCACATCTCAGAGGAAGATATTGTACTTTTTACTTCTCTATATTTGACAGCTTTAGCCACTTTACAAAGTCAGATTTTTACACACAAAACAGATGAAGAGTTTATAAAATATGATGTTTTGTCATAAATTAAAACTCCCCAACAGTTTATACAAGTATAACTACTACAAATTAATCAGCAGATTAATTTAAAAAATGTCATTAATTGCAGTCTGATACAAAGATAGATAAAATAGTTCAACCTCAACCAGCCAACAACAGTAAAATCCGTTTTTTTACAGTGAGGTATTAGTACTTGTGCTTAAGTAAAGGATCTGAATGCGTCATCCCCTACTGAGGTTTTTACAGAAGTGTCCACATACTTTTGGCCATACAGTGGCTCCACGTGTGCTTTAACATGTGGCCACACACTGACACCTGCTGGTCAGAACAGAGCGGTGCATCTTCAGTAGTGTAACGCAGAGGCTTCGAACTGTGTAATGATGTTTTGAGCTCACAGGAAGGTGTGTACTTGTACATCAGATACTTGTTTCTGGTGTGCTTCCACATTTTGAATCACAGTACCAGAAGTGGAGGAAGTATTCAGATATTTTACTTCAGTAAAAGTCCTAAAACTGTAAAAAAAAAAAAAGTACTGCATTGAAAATGTTACTTAAGTAAAAGTATGTGGGTATAATCAGAACCATTATACACTGCTCAAAAAAATAAAGGGAACACCAAAATAACACATCCTAGATCTGAATGAATGAAATAATCTCATTAAATGCTCCTTCCTTTACATAGTCGAATGTGCTGACAACAAAATCACACAAAAATTATCAATGGAAATCAAATTTATCAACCCATGGAGGTCTGGATTTGGAGTCACACTCAAAATCAAAGTGGAAAACCAAACTACAGGCCGATCCAACTTTGATGTAATGTCCTTAAAACAAGTCAAAATGAGGCTCAGTAGTGTGTGTGGCCTCCACGTGCCTGTACTCTGGCAGTGCTCCTCCTGCTCCTCCTGCAGGCGGAGGTAGCGGTCCTGCTGCTGGGTTGTTGCCCTCCTACGGCCTCCTCCACGTCTCCTGATGTACTGGCCTGTCTCCTGGTAACGCCTCCGTGCTCTGGACACTACGCTGACAGACACAGCAAACCTTCTTGCCACAGCTCGCATTGATGTGCCATCCTGGATTTTCTCCATGAATCGATTGATTTGGTCACCCAGTGTGACACCTTCACAACGCCTTTTTGTGTCCGACCATCAGTCCAAACCTCAACATTGTTAACAAACCTTACAGTTATTACAGTCATTCAAAGGAAACTTCAGCAAAATAATTTTCTGTCATTCATCTAGTTGATTAATCGACTAGTCTTTTCAGCTGTGCTTGTATAAATTGTTTTGCTTTAAATTAAATGACCCATCATATTGTACTATTAAACTCCACTGAATGTATCTTACAGCTTTAGTTACTTTACAAAACACACAAACAGCTGATCTGAATATTTCCCTCTGAGATGTAGTGGAAGCAGAACATGGCACCATTTATGTGTACTTAAGTGCAGTACTTGAGTGAATGTACTTGTGTTCTTAAATGTAACTCGTCTCAAATACTTTATGACTGAATATTTCATGGCTACTAATAATAGTACTTTAAGTGCATGAATCACATAAAGTACATGAAGTAGTATTTCAGTACAATGTCTGGTTTAATAATTTATTTTATCAAATTTTTGTTGCATGCTCTCATCACGTATGACTTAAAATTAAGTGACTGGTAAATTATTTTTACTTACTTTTATCCTAAGCGACTTACAATTGCTATACACGTCAGAGGTCACACACCTCTGGAGCAAGTGTCTTGCTCAGGGACACATTGGTGGATGGGTCACAGCGGGGGATTGAACTAGGTCTCTCACACCAAAGGCATGTGTCTGACCCATTGCGCCATCACCACCCTTTATATTTGTTTTTTTAGGTTAACTGTTACAAATGTCCAGGGACTACGGATGAAAAATGTGATGTAAATACACCAGTTAGCCAAAACACAATGTTTTATTAATGTGCACTGTACCTGCTAAATTAAACAGATTTTTCAAAAATTACATTATAATGAAACACAAAATTTTATTTGTTGGTCCAAGTTACAAGAGAAAGTTTTGTATATTATTGTAAATACTTGTCTAGTTTTCATGTAACAGCTTGCTTCTTTACCAGTTAAGAATGTTATATATACACTGTACATACTCTACGTACTCCTTTTGGTCACATCATGTATATACTGCATACATTCTGTGTGGATATCGTTGCGGATGATGAAGGGAAACGAGCATAATTTACAGGCAGCACTGTGGTGCAGTGGTTAGTGCTGTCGCCTCACAGCAAGAAGGTTGTGGGTTTAAACCCTGGTTGCCCTGGCCTGGAGTTTGCATGTTCTCCCTGTATCTTCCTCCCACTGTCCAGAGACATGCAGGCTAAGTTAATGTCAGCTGGGATTGGCTCCAGCCCCCCATGACCCTGTACGCAGGATAAGCGGTTGATGATGGATGGAACGATGAATTGAATTATTCTAAAATAAGACGATGTACACAGCATCTGCAACAACTTTCAAACAGTTTATTTCTCATTTTTTCCCAATGTATGAAGTTTCAGTGACGCGGCAGAGATGAAAACAAGAGTAAAAATCTGAATCCACGAGGCCTCCATCTCACAAACATCCCTTTAAACCAGCCAGAAGACATTTCAGCGCCGACCTGAAACCAAACAAGCAGGAAGCTTCGACGCCGACTGTTAACAAAAAAACACCACCCGAAAGAAACAGAGTGAAGAAGAAAAGAAAAAAAAAGCGAGTGGCGGGCGACAAAAACAGCTTCATGGTTACAGTTTCAGTAGAGTAAATTTTATACATTTTTATGTTTAAACCTTTTATTGGAAACACCCACGTGCTTAAATGTTCATGTTTTCACCATTATTAAACATGTAAACACAACACGGTCTTTGAAATGAGCCGAAACTCTGAAATGCTAAATGAATGAAAGACAAAAATGTTCAGATTACTTATTGTCACCATGAAACACACGATCTGACATCAATGTGAAAATAACAGCATGTCACGTGTTTTAAAATACCAAACTATTACAGCTGAATAAACAACCTTTAAGTTTAAGTTCTATTGAAAATAGCTATTTTCCATGATTCCTAACTATTAAACATGCACCAAAAACTGTGGATTTTATTGTATAACTGTAGAAAAATTCAAATATGCAAGTGGTCAAACGTAACCAGTAAATACAATCACACACTCTTCGTGTCACGTAGCATGCACAGAATATTATGATTGTTTGCACCTGCAAGACATTTCGCTCATTTCACTGAATTGTTTTTGAGACCAGCCTGGTAAACTCGAGCTTTGAGAAAAGAAAGAAATTAGAGTTTTAATAAAAACCTGATCTACATGCAAACAGCCACGGGCGGAGGAAGAAAAAATAAAAGAGGAGATCAGATCACACGTCATGCAAACACGTCACAAGTCTCCCGCTTCAGGTAGAAAAGTCTTTCACAGCGCGTCAGAGAATGAACCGTGCAGCCCGGCAGGTTTCCTGCAGCCGAAGCTTATTTTTGATTTCACAGACTATTTTACTAAATCTTAGAAACACAGGAATATTAACTGATTTCATAAAGACCTAAAAAATGTAAGTGAGAGCATCTGTGTGCGAGTCCTGCATGTTTTTATAGCGATCGCTGGCTTTACAGCATCTAAGCAAACGTAAAATACTTTGGAGAAAAATCAGAAGTTCTGCGTCTTTTCTTAAGAAGTTTTTCTCGGCTGAATGCAAACTGAAACAACTCCGATTATTGGGTGCAGTAAAGCTGCGCACGTGAAGCAGTTTTCAGGAATGACTGACATCAACAGTTGGCGCTCGACCCTGATAATATGTTACGTTTGTGTCCTGCAGGAATTATGCAGCTTCCGGCATGTCAACATGCCATAATTTGTCTTGTACTTGAAGCTGGGGGAGCCCACGTTGGAGGAACTATCAAGACACAGCTGGATGTTTGAAAGTATCCTTCCGAATAAATCCCTTCAGGCCTCCCTCAAAAACACATGTTCAGGTCAGCCAATCATTTCATTCGGACCAAATGAAACGACTGGCCGTGCTTATTTACAGTCCTGCGACAGCCACGGATATTTTTCATTTCTGTGTCAGAGCATGTGATGTATCGTCAAGATATAAAGAGAATTTCAACAAATATAATACAAGAAATGCGTCTGAACTAAACTGCCTACCCCGGCTTTCATGTTGTTATCACAACTGGGTGCTTAAAAACACAAAAGTTCGTTAAAAAACGACGGCGTTCATTAGAGCCACAGAGCATCGTTTAAAAACATGCAGGTCCCAGTCTGTTATCTCTGACTGAATTTAGCCAAACACGAGCGTAAAGCTGCTCTTTAGGTGTAAATGATGCAAAACTCCAGTAAGATAAATGCATTCAATAATACAGTTATACATCTCTAACATAAAGACACGGCTTTTAAGCCTGTTTAATTCAAACGCATGTCAATAAATTCTTGTTGGCACCTCATGCTGTTTTTGTGTTGTTCTGAAATCAAGTAACATCAAAACGAACTACACTCGTCCACTAAAGTTTTACGTTCTGTAAGATACTTCCTTTGTTTCTAAAAAAGAAAACTAAAAAACAATGACACCAAAATAAATATAAAAAACCCACATACCTTGAAAACCCAGTAAAACTTACAGTACACATACACACTCAACCACAGCTTTCCTCCACCAAACTCAAACCGTCGCTCTGCGTTTAAAAAAGCTGTCCGTCGACTTTTAAAGTGCGACGCCGAGTCACTGAGAGTCCCTGTTCAATAATACTAGGTAAAAGTTTGGCTTCAGAAGGCTCGGGAGGAGGGGGGGGGGGGGGGGGGGGGGGCAGGACGAGGGGGTGTGGGGGTTCACAGAGAAAACACTTGCATTGAAAACAGACTGAGCGTTTTTTTTGCTGGACGACGTCTTCAAGCAGATTTTCAGTAAATGGAGGGAAAAAGGTTGTCAGACGTCCACCACCATCTTTTTGTGAATGTCTAATCCACCGACGACCTGGAGAGGAGACCAAAGGCAGTGAGGTCATTTCCTGGTTAGCGTTTTTAACATTTTTGAAAAGTCCTGCTGAGAATCACTAACAGGGAACAGAACACGTCAGCAGCGCCTCCACGGCTGCTGCTGGTTCACTCCACACTGAAACTACGAGGGTTTGCATGGACTGATGTTTGGTTCTCCAGCGCCACCATGAGGTTCACATGTGTGGTTCTAGGTGAAATGCCTGACTCATGTTTCGCCCTGGTGGAAAGCAACTACCGTAAAACTTGGAATAACAGCCCGGGCTTTTATTTGCTAAAATCACTGAACTGACCCTGCCTCTATTTGGGACAGGCCTTTAATTCCTCTCACACAAAACTGAAAGAGGCTACTATGAAACAGTTTATTTATTTCAAACAGTATGAATATTGCTTTTATAAAAATTATTTACGCAATGCTTGTGCACTGGAGGAAAGGGGGCACCGGAGCTCCACCCCTTTATAACCGATCTGCAGGAACAGGCCTCTCTCTTGAGTAGTGACGTCACTGGCTGGAGGGGGACACAAGACGGGATGACCCAGGTACTAATTTGGATTCCCCCGTTTGAAAAGAGAGTAATCCCAATGCATTCCGCTTGTTTAAACATTTACTTAGGCTCCACAAACAGTCCACTCACTTAACGAGGCTGCTGATGAGTTAAAAGAAATGACTTGTTGTAAATGACATGAGCTGAAAGATTTCTTTAATAAAATAGAGTTATATTTTCCATAACGTGTTTTTACAAGCAGCGCGTCACATCCACACACTGGCACACAGCTTGGGGCTCAATAAGGCAACGAACATGTGATAACAATATATGAAACTGTGCTCTCGTATTTGCTTTCCAGCCCTGGTTTGTGCATACGCGCCGTTTATAAATGAGACCCCAGGCATCTAATGGAGACCTGCGTTTATTAGTCAAAATGTGTTCCCACACCAGGCCAGGAAACGGGTAGGCGGCTGTTAAGTTAATGTACTTAGTGTAAAACTTCAATTAAGTATAAATTCAAGCTTCTTCAAAATAATAGCCCAATTGATCCGGTGTGGACTTTATTTGTGTTCATGTGCATCCATGTTCAAGTAATAATTGGCGGTGTGTTTTCATACATAGTCAATGCAAAGACGCGTGGAGCCGCGATTTTCTGTAGGGCGATGCAAAGTGGGCGATGCGAAGTGGGCGGTGCCAGTGACGCAAAAGTCGCAAGACGCTGAGTCGCAATAGCCTATCAGCATTGAGATTGTCCGTACGTCACTGAGGCTTCAGAGCGTCGCTTGGAGGGCGCCAGGCAGAGCGGGAGACAGAAATTCTGCTGGCCGGCGGGCGAGCTGCTAAACTTGGGGGAGAAGAGCAGCGCTGCAGCATTTGGACAAATAAACACCTGCAGTCGGACCGGATTCTGCTCTGATTCTACGCGTTTGCTCAGCTAGGAGCTCAGATTTAACTTATTTTATTAAATTAGCTTTTTACTTTAGTTTTTTTTTTCTGGGTTACAACGTTGATTTATCTTCAGTGGAGCTTCTCAACAGCTAGCTTCCATGTAAATCCGGTTCCATTGTTGTTCGTGTCGGTTGGCACTCTGTCGGACTACGACTTCATATTTATATAAAAACCGGACAAAACTGGACAGTGCTGGGAGAAAAGAAAGCGAAGAGGTTGAACTACCTGGTGAGGTCAGAAAACATGTGTCTGTAACTTTATTCCAGCTATCATTGTACTTTACTGTGACCCATAGCCCTGATCGATCCAAACTCCATTCAGAAAAGAAACATTTTAGAAGTTGTTGTCCTGCTGTCCTGCTGACAGACCTGACAAAGCATAAATTCACATGTTTAACAAATCTGCATCATATTGTAGTTATTTCGGCATCAGTTTAATCCGTTTATTGCTATTTAATCACAGCAAAATGTTTCCTTTGGGTTCATACAGCTGTAGTAATGGAGAGTTGTGTTTATTCGCGGTATAGCATTGTGTGTGAACGCTTGGCAGTTAAAACGCGAGGAAAGCGTTGCGTGGATTCAATTCGCGTTTGGTCTGAATGCAGCATAATGTTCTGTGTTTCAGCTTGTGGCCTTCATCTTGGTCTCACAATAAAGCTGTTCTTTCTACAAGTGTTGTAGGAGTTTTGACCTCTTCAGACTGTTTCGGTTCTCCATGCGCCTTGGAAGCTACACATTTTGATGAAGCCAACGTACACGACCTGCTCACAGTCAGAGACTAACTGGTGAAGGAAGTGAACCAGCTAGCACCTAAAGAGGCAGATGTTTCTCTCAGTAGTTGGGTCTCCACCCAACCTGAAGCCCTCTGGTGAGTAAAACAGGTGATGGAGCTGAATCCTCAATACTTACGGCACAGAACTCTTCGAAGGATATCCTGCCATCACCGTCTTTGTCTGCGTTGATGATGGTTTTGTCGACGATCTGTTGAAGCTGGGTGTCCTTCAGGTTGTTGCCCACCATCATCTTGAGCACCTGGAAGAGCTCCCCGTTGGATATGTAGCCGTCTTTGTCCATGTCATAGATCCTGAAGGCGACTGAGGTCAAAGAGGCGACACGGAGGAAAGATGTCAGCATTTATTTATAAAGGTTTGTTTGGGATGTCTGCGGATGTTCAACAGAGAAGTTCTCCTCACTGCATGTGTAACGTCTGTAGACCAAACACGTGCAGCATTTCAAACACCAACGAATGGGTGCTTACTTATAAGTGTAAATCCAAAGAAATCCTGCTTTTGCTGTAATCTGGATGGTGAAATGTTCACTAAATCCAAGTTTTATAAGATCTAAAAAGTGCAAAATATTCTGGCTGATTAAAGGTATATTTAAAGGTTCAACAGCTGACAGTGAAAAGTCCGAGTTAAACATGCTCAGTGATCGTTGGCTTGTGAAGCCTGATAAAATCTTAATGCAGATTTTCTAGAACTTTCCATGAGATGTGTCTCACACTCTGAAGCAAACTGGTGTATGTTGGACACTTACAACGTAACTTCTGCTCCTTGTCGCCTTTGACGCTGAACTGGGAGACTCCCTCAATAAACTCTGCCAAAGAACAGAAAACAACATCGTCAGTTAAAGATGGCCGCACATTAGAGAATACCTGGGACCAGATTAAAATATTTAAAATTGGTTAGTTCTCTCATTGTGTCTGTGGTATCCCACATTTTTTTAATCAGATAGGATTTAGGAACACTTTAGTGAGCACCAGGAATTAATTAATTAATTTTTTAACATAATAAATGTCCACAAAATGACCATAATTCACCATGCCGTGAACGGGAAATAATTTACTTGAGAGCCTGATAATGTCACACAAGCTTCCCCACAACCTTTAAATCTTTTATATATGAAGTGAGTTTGATCATGTCTGTTGGAAAAAGGTACAGGAGAACTTCAGAAAGAAAAGTCTAATGGCTAAAAATCCATTAGCTTGACTACAATGTGGACGACTTCCACGTTATAACACAGTAAGTAAGTAAGTAAACTGTGTGAGTACTCTGTCTCTGCAGCCGACAGCAGAGACATCAACAATAAGGTGACCAGATTTCTGAAATGAAAACCGGGGGAATTTTTTGTTTGATGGTCAGTGTGTCATTAAAAAATATTATTATTATATTTTTATTTAATCTGTCAAATATAACTCTTCTCAATGAAATCAAGTCATTTTGAGGCAAAAACGACCTTTCAGTCAATAGGTAGAGGCTGCAATCACTTTCTGGCAAGTAGAATCATGCATTTTAAGTTTAAGTCCAGTTAAATTATGTAGTCATAAGGATAATTGCAAAAGAGATCATTTGTTTATTTTATCTATAAATCCGCAGTAAGTCTTGTTAGTTATAGGCTACTGTCCGTTTTCCAAATATACCAAACACATAATCCATCAGCAACAACAGGCTTCTATTATTGTTTAGAATCACATAAATGTCAGGCCTGGTTACGCTATAAACTGCAAACACTTATTTGGCCACAATTGTGATTGTTCCGTTAAAGGAAATGTTAAAGTTTCACAAAGACATACCTTTGCTATTGCCACGGACCTACAGTGATGTTTATTTGCTTGTTATGTCTGTTTGATCCAGATGCAGCGCGAGTTGTAAAGAGACTGGGTGATATACAGTTTTAACATGCTGCGCGCGCTCCCACGGACAGCAAACAATTTTCAGTGGACGATCACTTTTCGGCACGACACCTGTGTGCTCTGCTGACCAGTCTTTCTGGCCATGGATAATCTGTTAACACTTTATACAGTCTATGATTAACACACAGTTAAAAACGGGGACAGCTCCAGAAAACTGGGACGTCTGGTCACCCTAACCAACAAGGTGATGTTAACGATCTTAAAGAGTACAATAAGTTTCCTGTGCTTTAACTGAAATGGACTGTATCTTCATCACTTTACACTTTTCCTCACAAACTCAGGGCAGCGAGCCACCATGCACACTGCTGATCTAACCATCAGCAACAAACTGGGGTCTTTCCCCAGGTCACTTCAACATGCAGACAGGACGAGCCGGGAATCCAAACTCCAGCCTTGCAGCCAGTTAATGGACGGCCTGCAAAACCTGAACATCTGGATGAAACGCTCTGGTGTCACAGCATTTAATGTCCGTCATAATGTCTTTTCAGCTTTCTGGACACACCGACAGTAAATAGCAGCAACAAATTTCAGTTTAGCTACAAACTTTGATTTTGTGGGAGAATTTGTTCAGTGAAATTAATTTCATTGAAAACGCTCCCCAAGCATCGAGAACAACTTTTCATGTAGAGACTGTGAGATTATCCATGTTTGTCAGTCATCAGAGACGACAACGGTGAACTCGTTAATTCCAGGGGGAACTTTGAGACCATTTTAAGCGATGAGAAGGAATGATCTATTATGTTATATACTTGCTCAATTGATTGATCGATCAAATTGTGCGATCCGTGTTTCATCTCCTTTTTATCTTAATATTCCTCTCTTATCGCTTGAAACAGCCGTGCAAATTCTAGGGATGCACCGATCCAATGCTGACTCAAATAACAGGATCAGGTATCAGGAACAATCTATGGATTCATGGGGCCGATCTCTTTATTTCAATTACGCGCTCACTTGGTGATGTGTCAGCGGTGCGCCGATAGACCCGAACATTTTTCTAGGAGAGCTAACGTAGCACTTTGTTTTACAAAGCTAGGAAGCAATGTTTCAGTTGAACCCGATGTTGTTTTACACAGAAAACAATGATTCCCAGTCAATTCCTCACAGTGAGGACTACAGCTCATTCATTTTACACTGGCATCGGATTGGTACTCAGCTTCAGCAGATACCCAAAGTCCAGGTATTGGTATCAGGACTGAAAAAGTCAAATTAGTGTCTTTACCTGTGCAAACATGAAATAAGGTGCTTGTGCTATTATTAGGATATAAATCAATATCTTTGGATTTTGTCCACATTACGGCAGCAACTAACGATTATTTGATCACGTGAGAAAATGGTGAAAAAAGTGTTTCCAAAAGCCCAAGAGGACGTCCTCAAACGTGTTGTTTTCTCCACAACTCAAAAAATATTCATTTTACTGTCACTGAGAAGTAAAGAAACCAGGAGATATTCAGCTGATTATTTTAGTACCTGACAAATAATCGACGTCTGACGCTGACGTCAACAGTAAAAACTTTCAGAGGGATAAAAAGAATTTAAGAACACAGGACATCAGAGAAGTTTCATAATTTATTCACCTTTAAAGTCGACTTCCCCATTTCCGTCGGTGTCGAATATGTCGATAACTCGCTGCACGAGGGGATTCTGCTGGAGCTCCGGTAAGGACATGAACTCCTCCACACTCAGAGAGCCGGAGTTATCTAGGTCGAGTTTCTTAAATCTCTTTCCTAGCCGCTTAATCTCATCAGCATCAACTGAAAGGAAACACAGAGAGACAAAGAGAGAGATGTTAATTACAGACAGAGAGAAAGAATGACTGAAACTAACAAAGTTTCAGCGTAACAGCTGGAGATTATCCTGACAAATGTTTACTGACTGGTGAGTTTGGGCGACACATCAGGACACACGGTATTTAAAATCTCCTTCCTGTGCTGCATGTAGAAACCATTTCACCTGACAACACGACCAACCTTACCTGGTTTCTTCTTCGTACTGGCCATTGTCATTCAGAGTTGCTGGCGTCTCACCGCACCAGTCAGGTTGAACCTTGTGCTACCGGACCCCCCGGTGCAGCACTCTAAGCCCTAACACCAGGTCATGTGACACCTCTTTCAGCACTAATCACTCTGCTGATCGCTATGAATCAGCGGTACACGGTGGAGGTGGGGGCCATATTGTGTTGGTAACCTGGTAATTCATGGAGTCTTTTTTTTTTTTAAACGATCGAAAATCTGAAGAAGTTTGGTTCTAAGGAGATGAAAAAATATCTCAAAGCTCAATGCTACAGGCCAACAACAACATATTCAACAACGTTTAATAATAAAACTCTTGAAACCACAATCATTTCACCAGTAAAGACAGTGTAAAGTTAGGAATATCAGTGCTTTTGTCCCATTTTCATTTGGTTTCTGCAGAGCTTCTTCTTGCAGGTAGCAATAACTTTAGTTGGTTGTTTGTTGTCCTTACATTAAACTTAAAATACTGATACTTTGCTAGTTTATTTTGGGGGTTTTTATTATATATATTTCAAAATACTCCCCACCCTCAAATTTTTTAAAACCTGTTTGAAAGCTGGCTTTTAATCAAGCAGGAGCTGTGTGGTCTTCTGTTTTTGCCTTTCAATTGTTCGTAAACCATTTTCTTGTGCGTTTTTCTCTGTGTTTGTGTTTTGTGTTTGACATGTTTTATTTTTTCTTTCTTGTGCAGCACTTTGTAAACCAGATTTTTCAAATGTGGTGTATAAATAAAAAGATTGGATTGAATTCTTGGTTGAAAAGGCTTAGTTTTTGTTTTATAAGTGGTACTTCCACGCACTGAGGAAAACAGCTGACCAATTTTCCAGTAATGGAAAACACACAAAATGAGGGAACAAGTTGCAAGTCCAGGAAAATCTTGTGTTGTCCTGGAAAAATATTTTAACATTATGTTACAGTTGCTTGGTTTTTGTTGCGGCAGCGTTTTGTGTTTCAACTCTGGCTAGGAGCAATGGTTTCATATGAGTTGAGTGTTAGGAAAGCTGAATAAGAATGAAGAGGAAGACGGGGTCAAAACAATGAATTGGGAGCCCAGCTGTGTTCACAAGAAAAGCACTTGCCAAACATAGATCACAAAGGGATTTCCAAAACAAACAAAGAAAATACAATACTCTAAAATATAACATTAGAACATAGCACTTAAACAAGGAACGGTTGATTTCATAGACACACACATATTAGGACATCATATTAGCTAAATTATCACAGAAAATGTCCTGGAAAAGTCCTGGAAAATGATCTCTTAAAAAAAGAGTGGGAATCCTGAAGTACACCCCAAAATAAAATCTGGTTCCTTCAGCACTGACACACCTTCGCCTGGTCTTAAAACTTTATCTCTGTTTACTCCTTAGAACTTTTCCTCTTTGGCTGTTTCTCGGCAATCTCTCCTTCCTCTCGGTGCTGGGAGTTCAGCATGTTGGAATGTGCTGTTGTAACAGACTTTCTCTCCAACTGAACCACCCCCACCCCGCTTCCCCTCGTCACTGCTGAGCACCAGCACTGTTACTGATTGGCTGGAACACTGTTGTGGCAAGGGCCACATTACTTTCTTTGTTTTCCATTTACAGAGCCAGAGAATGCTTTTTTTGAGAACACACAAAACAGAGAGCGGGCGAACTGAGAGGAAATATTAATTTAAGTGCATTGTTAAATACTTAATAAATGGGATAGTAGTGTAAGTCAGAGTGAGGAAACAAAACGTGAGCAGCAGAGCTGCAGTGAGAGGCGGAGCAACTCTGGAGAGGAGGAGCAGAGGAGAGCTTCAGAGTTTGTCAGAGCAGCAGCTGTCGAGACGAGTCTGTCTCTGAAAGGAAATTCTGACTGACTTCATCAGGTCTTTCTCAACAACACAGCAGAGTCTCTGCCAAACACTGGTGAGTACAGCTGATCACATTTACAGCTTCAACAAGCAGCATCAACACAAACCTGCAGCTCTACTCAGGCAGGAAGTTCCACTCTTTCATACTTGTGACGTTGGTTAAAATATAACTCTGGCTGTTTGTCCACAGGCCCACTATACAGCGGCCCACTGGAACTGCTTCAAACTGCCTCTCAGTCCGTTCTCAGGACTTTAATAATATAATCTTTATTTGTAGAGCACTTCAAAAACAAGTTACAAAGTGCTTTAACAAGTGTAAAGACAATAATACCAAAGAGACAATAATACAAAAACAATACAAGATAAAAGCATGAAAACACTGAAAAGACTAAAATACACGTTTAAGATAAATATAAAACTAGTAAAATAGAATAAAATAAAAGGGATAAAATAAAGTCAAGATCGGGAAAGGCTCTCCTATAAAAGTATGTTTTAAGAAGGGACTTAAAAGAGTTCACTGACTCAGCTGACCTGATTTCCTCGGGCAGACTGTTCCAGAGCCTCGGGGCCCTGACAGCAAACACTCTGTCCCCTTTAGTTTTCAGTCGAGACTCTGGAACAGACAACAGACCTCTGCCCGAGGATCTCAAGGTACGTGCTGGTGTGTATGGGACTAAAAGGTCAGAAATATAACAAGGCGAGAGACCATGAAGAGCTTTAAAAGTAATCAATAGAATTTTAAAGTCAATTCTAAAACATACTGGGAGCCAGTGTAATGAAGCTAAAATAGGGGTAATGTGGTCATATTTCTTTGTTCTGGTTAAAAGCCTGGCAGCTAAGTTCTGGACAGTCTGGAGTCGATCAATAGATTTTTGGGTTAAACAAAAGGCTGTTGCAATAATCTGGGCGTGATGAAATGAAGGCGTGTAAAATGGTCTCGGTGTCCTTAAAAGTTAACATAGAAATATAGCAAAAATTTGATCTAAGTTGATAAAAACATGATTGAACAAGCTTTGTGGTGTGCGGCTCGAAATTTAAATTACTCTCAAACCAAACACCAAGGTTCTTTGCCACAGGCTTAATGTGATTTACTAGGGAACCAGCAGATGGCAGTATTTGTTTTGTCATCTGCTGGGACCCAATGACCAGGATTTCTGTTTTGTCTGAGTTCAGCTGGAGGAAATTATTTTACATCCATTTTTTAACTTCACAAAGGCAGTTGTTAAGTGAACTCAGCATTCCATGGTCTGTGGGCAAGTATATGTGTGTGTCATCAGCATAAATATGAAAAGAAATGCCATGTTTATGGATAATATGTCCAAGGGGAAGCAGATACAAGGAAAACAAAATGGGTCCTAAGACCGACCCCTGAGGCACACCATATTTAACTGGACAGAACGAAGAGACAGTTGTTTACAGACACGCAAAACCTCCTGTTTGACAGGTAGGATGAAAACCATTCTAGGGCAGTACCAGAGATCCCCACCCAGTGCCTCAGTCTGTCTAACATGATGTTGTGATCAATGGTGTCAAAAGCAGCGCTAAGGTCCAGGAGTACCAGGACTGAGCACATGCCTTCATCAGCAGACATTAAAAGGTCATTGGTGACTTTAAGCAGGGCAGTTTCAGTGCTGCGGTACCTCCTGAAACTTTTCAAATATTTTGTTATTTTCCAGTACAGTGAGCAGCTGGTTGGACACAATTCTTTCTAGAATCTTTGCAATAAAAGGCAGTTTTGAAATTGGTCTTAAATTATGTGGGAGGGAGGGATCTAAACCAGGTTTCTTTAAAAGTGGGTTCACGCAAGCCTGTTGAAATCAGAGATCAAATTGGGCCCAACAGAATCTATTACTTTCAGTAAAAACTTTGTAGGTATTACATCAAGTGGGCTGGAGGACACTCTCATTTGTGATACAGTTTTTAAAAGCTCAGACAAGTCGATGGGATAAAACTGGTTAAAAGTCTCTTGTTGCTGGTGAGGAACCTCTGATTAAGAGGCCGCGGGGGTAACAGAGGCTCCGATTGACACCACCTTATTGGTAAAATAAGAAAAAACAATTCACAGTCGTCATTAGGTTTAGTTGGGTTTACCAGCTGATCCACAGTCTTAAACAGAAACCTGGGATTGTATTTATGTGTAGTAATGAGTTCAGAAAAATAGTGTGTTCTCGCATCCTTAACCATGTTATTGAAGTTAATTAATAAATCCTTCAGACTGAGGTAATGCACTTGGAAACTGGATTTTTTCCACTTTAGGGACTTGAAGCTGAACCTCTGATGTTTGCAGTTTAGTTTCCTGATTACTGATCTTTTCCTGCAACGATTATGACGCCTTGGATTTCCCTTGATAGTTTCACAATATAGCCAAAGGTTTTGGGTCGCCTGCCTTTACATGAACATGACGGTTAATGACATCCCATTCTTAATCCGTATTTAATATGGAGTTGGCCCTCCCTTTGCAGCTATAACAGCTTCAACTCTTCTGGGAAGGCTGTCTACAAAGTTTAGGAGTGTGTTCATGGGATTTTTTGACCATTCTTCTAGAAGCACATTTGAGAGTTCAGGGCACAGATGTTGGACAAGAAGGCCGGACTTGCAGTCAACCAAAGGTGTTCTATCGGGTTGGGGTCAGGACTCAAGTTCTCCACACCAAACTTGCTCATCCCTGTCTTTATGGACCTTGCCAAAGTTGGGAGCATGAAATTGCCCAAAATGTCTTGGTATGCTGAAGCATTAACAGTTCCTTTCACTGGAACTAAGGGGCCAAGCCCAACCCCTGAAAAACAACCCCCCACCATAAAGTGCAATTTGTGTAGAATCCACGGTGTAGACCCCCACCCTTCGCCGTCACCTACATCGTAGCCTGACGTGCACCTCCTCAAAAATGTACCTTCAAGTCGAG